AAGGCCTCTAAAAGAACACACACATTTCTGTCCATTCCTTATTGGAAAATGGATAAATATGGTTTGACTCACCAGCACTTTTGTGAGCAGCATTTTCATTCTGGAGCTTTAGGTTCTATATCCCTGGCCCTTAAATCTTAACTAGGGATTCCATGGTTGAGAAAGTTGAGGCCTGGACCACCATCTTCTAATTAAATCATAGCCTGTAAAATTGATGGCATATCTACTATCGTCGTTCTTCTTTCTATTTTCTATTTGTGTATTTATTTATTTTGCAGCAGTATGTTTAGCACACATCTCCATCTTTACAGTGTTGGGTAATTAACTTACTTCTTTATCTGTTCTTTTTCGCAAGGGCTCCTGGCTGACATCGTCAAATCCGTTTCACTTAATGGTCTTCCTGAATTCTTTGTGTTACTCTGAGTAATTTTTCCTCTTGCTGCTTGACATCGGCTCACCACTGAGATTGGGCTGAAGTTCTATCTGCTTTTTTTTCTGATTTGTCTCTGGGTCCTCTGGTGGGACTTACTTTTAGGTTATGTTGTTTTTTCTCTTTCTCTGGTTTGAAAACCAGTTTTGTCTATCCATTCGTTTCCAAATTCTTCTGGGTTCGGAGAAAGTTTCCATCATCTCTTCACCTCTAGACTGAAGCCACCAAAACATATACTTAAGTACTGATCTGGGCTTGTGGCCAGCCTAACCGAAGAGACTTAGGCTGATATGGAAGTTAGTTTGTTTATTTAGGCTGTGATTTTTATAGTGCCTATCAGGCAAATGCCTACCTGAATGTTGAATGTTTAAAAATTAAATTTCAGATGGGCCCTGGTTCTGTAAGGAGCACCCCAGACTTTCTAAACCCTTTTCTTGGCCACTCATTTCTTTTCCTAAATTGTCATTTCTGTGCTTTTCTTCCTTCGTCCCTTTCACAGCACCTACCTTCTGTACGTATTCAGCTTCAAATATTTTGACTAGTACTTCTTTTTTTTTTTTTTTTTTTGTTTTTTTTATTTATTTATTTATTTATTATATTTGTTTGTTTGTTTTGTTTATACATGCACTGGGTACAGTCAGAAGCACGGGAGGGTGAGAGAATTCACCAGAGCCAGAGCGGGGAGCAGAGCAGGCAGAAGGACCGAAGTACACTGCTGAGGGGAGCAGCGGGTGGCAGGAGAGGTCTGCGCACCTTGACTAGTACTTCTGTTTACAATGTGGGATTTTTTTCTGTATTCTTTTCAGAAGTCTGGTCTCTAGCAGTCTTTATGTGTGATTTTAGTAAAAAAAAAAGAATGTATGTACATACTCATGTGCACACTTGTGTGTGTGTGTTCATGTGTGTTCGTGTGTGTGAGCCTGCCATATTTCTTCCCTGCCCCACAGAAAATGTGTTTTTTTGGAAGCTCTTCTGACACTGAAGTGAATGCCCACTGGCCCTCCCTTGCTGAATTCTCCTGAGAGAGGTGAGGGAGAGAGAGGTCTTTATGCTTGTTGTCATATCTTTTGTTTCTGCTGATTATACACAAAGTAAGTTGTAAATAGCTTTCTCACACACCATGATTCCTTTGAGGTATGTGCAGGAGACTCGATGTGCACTCAGCTTCAGCTTACCCTGGGGATTCTAGAGGGTCCTTTTCAAAAGCCGCTTACTTCCTGTTATAGCACCAGCAGAAGGAAATTTAGATGAGTACTAGGCAATTAACATCCCATAATTAAACCTGTGGCATAATGTTTAGAAATATCAACTGATCAGTTTAGTATTTTTCTTTGATTTTTTTCACTGAAATGATTTTATTATTTTAAAACAAAAGATACAAAGAGGCAAAAAATAATAAAAATGAAAAGTTTTCAGAGAAAAAAAATCACTAAACATTTTGTAAAAATCATTGTAGAACTTTGTTTTAAACTATAGCATTGAAACAACACTAGAATGCAGGAGAGTGGATAAAACCCCCATATCAATTTAAGCTTTATATAGCAATGAAAACAGTGGTTACATACCATATTTTATTATCTTAATGTAAAATTAACTGATAATACGGAGCTAGACAATTTATGCCTGCTCTTTCTGTCAGTCATTTTTTTTTTTTGATCACTTATAGCAAGTGTAGCAACTACTGAGGCTTCTAAATCAAAAAGCCTAAATGCCTAGGTGTGCAATTATAACTAGGTTTTATCAACTTTCATATTCTCTGTATTTTTCTTGATACATTTTGGTGAATTAGGAAACATAGTTTGCCTTCTGCTGAAATTTTTTTCTCTCTCTGATAATGACAGTATTTATAGTGGATGAAGGGGGAAGTATTGTTAGACTATGAAACTGCAGTTTTTGGTTTGAATCACAATATTTTCATTTTTAAAATATGGGAGTCCAATTCCATAGATTTTTAAGGGATTTTTGTGTGTGTATGCTCAGAAATTCAAGGATTCTAAACTTAAAGAGTGCCACCCACTTCCCTAGTAGTTCCTTCTTGTGATTTGAATTGTTGAACCATTCTAGTAGTTTCCTTCCAGCTTATTCACAGATTTTTTTGTTTTCTCAGAAACTGTGTATCTAAGTGTCTGAGGTTGTGAATATAATTGTAGTTGTTTAACTTTCTCCTTTCCTCTGGAGAGTGTTTATAAAATACATTCTGTGAGGATAAAACAGAACTAGAAATTTAGTATTCTTGACATGGTTAAATAATATTAAGATAAGAGGGAATTTGTTTTATGTACATGAAATAAAGTATTAACACTTAATTTGCAATATATACATTTTGGCTTTCAGATTCTGCTTTAATCAGTTAAGTAGTCACATTTATTGAGATTTTTATAGGAAGCATTTTGAGGGGGGCTTATTCTGATATGGGATAGTCTAACATTTTTTTCTCCCAATCCTTCTATTGCACCATAGGGAGAATTACTGATGCAGAACTCATTAGTGCCCCTCCATATGTCAGCTGAGGGTGGGATCAGCATCATCTTGTATGTGACAGGACACAAATGTACAGTGTCTTTATTCTTCTCCATGCCCCATTTCTTTCTCATTCCTCAAGTGAGAGGATACATTCCCTTATGTTGCTCTAGACCAAAGAGCAAGTAGTAGGCTTTGATTTCTGACACCTTCTCCATTTCCTTCAATTGTCTTCCTTGTAATTTCTTTCATATGAAACATCAGCAAATGCCTGTGAGATGGATGCCACTAAATGCAACTGTTATATGTTTTTCATTAATTTCTTTGCAATATGTCCTCCACCTTATTTCTTAAGTTAGAGTTTTGTAACTTTCTAGCAAGTTACTCTGAGCTAGTTATTTACCTTAAGCCTTCTTTTTCTTTTTTTCAATTTGCAAAATGGAGGTGCTCATATACCATAAGATTGCTGAGAAAAGTGAGCTAATAATTTGTATGTAAGGTGCCCACAGTGTGTCAGTGGCATATTGCAAATGCTCAGTAAATGTGACCTCCCTTTCCTACCCCTCTTAGTTTCTACTGATGGAATTCGTGGGTAAAGAATAATTTTAAAGACAGATGGACATAGGAAGAGAGAATAAGAGACTTCCAAAGATAGGAGAGTTGTATCTAAAAACATTTGAAGAGTTGACTGAAAGTTTTAATTATGTTTACTAGTGAATTTGTGTAGTTTATTGAAACTTGTTTAAATTTGGAGAAGTGAACTGATCTGTGGTTCCAGAGGAAGAGAGAAATACCTTCTGAGGCAGTATACCTGGCAGAAGACTGATCTCTGAACAAAGAAAAATCCATTGACATAAATGATCTTACTTGGAGTAAAAAATTATAAGCAAAGCAAAACGCTAAAGGAGGGATTCGATAGGGAAAGAAGGCACAGGTGAGATAAAGTTGATTGATGGTTTGGGCAACTGATGTATGCAGGTTGATGTATGATTAGTGAAGTTAGTACCTGTTTTGAAGTACCTGTTAGTGATTTCCAGTTTTTTAAAACAAAATGCATAGAAAAGATTTTATTTATTATTTTTTAAAGATTTATTTATGCACAAAAGAGCTGGGGCACAGGCCAGAGGCATGGGGTGGGGGGCGGGGGGTGAGAGGACCCACCAGAGACAGAGCAGGGAACAGAACAGGCAGACTGACTGAAATACACTGCTGAGGGGAGCAGCGGGCGAGACAAGGAAAGGTCTGCCTCACCATGTGGGTTGCTCCCTTGCTGGCCGGGATCGAATTCGTGCTGCAGAGGCTGCAGACCGCTTCATAGTGCAGTGCTCAACCCCCTACGCCACCAGGGAGACCCATAGAAAAGATTTTAGATGAAATCTACTTCCTCTTTTTTTGTTTCAAATATCTAAAATGCAGGATGAAAGTGATAGAGTGTATATTTCAGGATGAGATTGACTAATTATAATAGATAACTTAGTTTTCAAAGTGAACCTGGTAGCATTCAATATTAGAATTGAAGGTACAGAGACACATTCATTAAGTTATAGCTCTTACATCAGGTAACCCTCTTATATGTAATTTTAAGACAGAAAATAAATAAATAATGATAATGTCTGCTTGTGCTAGACTTTACCAGAAAAGGAAGGAGATATTTGAACAGGTAAAGAGTTAAAAAGAATTTATGCATTATAGAATGAAATTTTTTTAAATTTTCATATGAGAAAATTAAAAGATGGGGGGGGAAGCCCCTATAATGTGCATCAGGTATTCTGTTTCTGTCCCCCGTCAACCCCCATCCTTTTTTCATTTCCTTCCTTTTTACTTACATATTTATTAAATGCCTACTTTGTACAACATAATGTCTATATAAAGGGAAATAAAATGTATGGGGAATTTTCTTCTTGAAATTTACCTTTTGGTAGTTAATAAACTTCATTGTGTGATATTTACAATCTATTTGACTTACTAATTATCAAAAACCCGTGAAGCTATAATGCCCTGTTTCAGGACTGTATTTGGCATGTCCCTGCTTCTGTCTGGGTCAAGTGTGTTTGTGTGCAGTTCTCAGCAGCCTCCACACCCAGCATCTAACTCAGCCGTATTCCCCCAGGTTCCAGTGGCATGTGCTGGCAGAGTGCTGGGTGCAGACTTTTGCCCAAACCTGGAGGAGCCAGACCAGAGGCTGGAAGTCCAGGTTGGAGTCTTATTGTTTTATCAGTTGGGGGTGGTGGTACAGAACCAGAGGTCCCTGAAAGCCATACAGATATGTCAGTGCCACCAGGAAATCAATAGCCATTGTCACAGGCATCAAGGAGGGACCAGAGTAGTATACATGCAGCGAGAAGTCCTCTTTGAATAAGTTGTTTATACTCGACATCATTCGTTTATTCACTAAAGAAATAGTATATGATGTAGTGGTTAAGAACAGAGTTTCTCAAGGCTGACTGCTTAGGTTGATACAAGTTGCTGTGGCACCTTTGGCAAGTCACTCAACCTAACTGAACTTTAACTTCCTCATCTAAGAAATATTTACAGTACAAGCTAGTTATGAGGATTTGATGTTCCAGTGTATACCTAGCAGTTAGAGTTTGACACTTAACAGGTACTCAGTAAATATTAACTCTCATCTTTTAAAAACATCATTATCTTTGCTAAGCACTATGTTAGGCACTGGGGATACTTGGTAAGCCAGTCACACTTCCTTAACTATGGTCTTCTAGAGAATACAAGTCATTTAATTGGGCACTCTAGTACAAAAATAGGACTTAACGGTAAGTATTCCCTTCTCACAGATTGGGAGATATGTTCTGTGGCATAATATTAAGTTCATTAGCGAAAAGTACATTTTATGCAAAAATTACTTAGAATTCACTTCATTTTGTGTGGTCCTCAGTCATTATGTAGTTTGTTATATTGCAAGTTAAAATAGAACACATTAGCTAAAGGTATGTCTCCAATTCCATGTACCTTTTAGTTTTTACAGAACTTGTGTGCCAATGATGTTTCAACATGGATGGCATCCCTAGCTTGAGCAAGCTCGTATTATTTTTTCAGGACCTCCATTTGGCATTGCTTTCTAAATTTTTAGACTTTGGGGGATGAGCTTAGTGAGCTTGGTTTTTAAAACATTTTTACTGATTTAGACGCCTCACAGGAGAGAAGTGAATAGTTTTAAAAATTGACTTCTTCACAGTGGGAATAAAGGTGGAAGTGATGGTAGGAGGAGGTTTCAGTTTTTATGGCACAGAAGAGTACACCATCTCTTGCACACCTGCTCTTGGCCTGGGGAAGACCACCTGAGCTCTGCTGTGCCACAAGCTGGTACTGTCTGGGTGGTGCATGGCTCTGCTACATCAGAAAGCAGGTGTGACACATATGAGACATGATCGTGCACTTCCCAGTTTTAGAAAGCTAACAGCTTGTGTGTGACACATAAGTGCAGCGTGATGGAAGACTTTTTGTGGAGAGCAGTCTGATCCTTGACCTCGTTGGGTAGGACGAGTGATGTTCTTCAAACATATCACCTGGAATGGTCTGTCATGGGTGGTTGTTGAATAATCTGTTTTTGAACCTTGAGTTATGGTGCAAAGAGCAATGGGTTTTGCAGATGTGAGTAAGTAAAATAAAACTGAGAGACCAGTGGAGCATATTATTTTGACATACCAAGGGAGACAATATATATTTACAAGTTTAAATGAAATCCTGGTTGTAGGTGAACAGATGTGGAGTTGACAGTTCAGCTTGGGTCTTACAAAAAAGACCAAGTTCTGGGAAAAGAAGGGAAAGCGCTCATTTTGTTGGTTTCCTCATTTGCAATACCATCTTGGTGGACAGCTTAGAAAGGATGAATCTATTGAAAGATAGTTAACAGTGAATCGATGAATTAACTAGAGCCCACTTGAACCATTTTCTTCTCTTTTTCCTCTTTTATGGTTTCCTTACATTTTAATAATATGTGGTGCTTAAGCCTATTATGTTAGTCATTAAAAACTGGACATTTAATATATTCTTTCCCAACTAACAGTTCCAGGAGTTGATTTTAGCTTGGAATCTTTTCATTCTTGCCATACTTGTATTCTGATCTTTTTGTTCCCTTAGGAGGTGAACCACTGCTTATTTTTTAGTCCAGCTCTACACTCCAGGGACCTTACATAGGACTTGCCAGGGTCTATCAACTCTTACTGCTTGGACCTCAAGATTTCCCCTGGGACCAGGCATTATAACCTCTAGAGGATTTGCTGTATGGCCTCTTGACTCTGAGAGTAACCTCTTGTATACCTTGATTTAGGTGCAATGATGTGTTTATATCCTTTCCTAAGAAGGATTTTCATTTAGATACATAGCCCCGTGTCTGGTTTACTTTTTATATTTCAGCTGATGTGCGTTCTCACTACTGCTGGAGCTCCTTGTTGTTCTTACCTGCTTCCTTGGGCCCTAAAATTTCAGATGGCTTAGCAACTTTATTATTTAGTAATCCAAAAATCCATGATACTCTTTTATGAATACTCTTTTTTGAATGACTATCATCCTTGAAGTCTGTGCCCTACTTGACTTTTGCAAGGGCATCTGTTGATTTTTTTGCATTACTATGCTTGATGTAGAAAAGTAGTGGGAAATCAAGACTTTGATTCACGGTCTAACTTTGTTGATTTTTCTTGGTGACTGTTGAGGTATGTATGAAACTATTTTCTTTAAACTGCGAGGTTAATTGATGTATCCTAGCAAAAAATTGGTCTCTTTCATGATTATTTTAATGGAAATGGTTATTCTGGTTTAGCACTCTCTTAAAGGCTGTTAAATATTTTATTTTTAATCAGAAAAAGTTACTTTATTAGTCAAACTGTGCCTTTGTTACAGTTAGCCCAGCACCGTTCCATTCTTGTTTGGAAATTCAAGATGTGGGGTTTGACTTGATATTTTTCACCACTAAAGTGCTTAGAAAATTAGAGTAAATAATGAACCAATATTTCAGTACCAGATTAGACACAATTTACTGTGATGTTTCATAAACCACAGACTCCTTTCTTCTGTGAATGCGTGAATGATCACTTTTTTTTCCAGACATACCGGGGTGCAAGTGTAAATTTCCATAAAATTTAAATGAGGTGCTTCCTGTAATTAATGAACAATTGTGGCTGCTCTCTAGTCTGCATTGTAATTAACCGTGATCAGGCTTGTTTAGTGATGACACTGTTCCTGTAATAATTTGACAAGCTACTGTGAATTTGCCAGGTTATTAAACAACCTGCAGCACTTACGGAATCACAGGGACGAGCTCAGCGGCTGCTGCTGGTTAAATACAGCATAAGGGTGAACCAAAAGCTGCCCATTGAAGTCTATGGATCACCCTGAACAGAGTCAAATTCCTATAATTTTGAAGAAGTTAATTTTGTGTGGGTTGTCTTGAAAGCTTTTTATTTCATGTTAAACCTACCAAGGCAAAATTGGTCATTTTTATGAACTGATAATGAAACCAGCTATTTTTTATTATATTGTTACCAGTATGGATGAAACAGAATCTAAGGTTTCCCCTACCTACCCTGTTAAAAATTGGTGTGAATATTAAAAAAAAAAATCCTCTTCAAATTCATTCACAACATCTCTTAAATATAAACTCACTCGTGCATGCGCGTGTGTGTGTGTTTGTGTGTGTGTGTGCATGTGTTGGAAATAGCAGATGACCTTATTCTAAACATAGTCATGTTGCAGCTAGAGAGCTCTAAGTGGACTGGTAGCCTTACATCCATGGTCACTAGTGCACCCGCCTTCCCCAGCCCCCACTTCAGCTTAAGGACTGTTCAAAACGTTACTGTCTAGTTACTGTGGTGTCTTTCATTCAGATTCTGTTTATTGACTAAACCACAAGGATTCCTGCCCAAAGTACCAGGCGGTCTATGCTTGACTGATTTTGATTTTCTAACATCAGCCCTGGGGTTTATTTGAAAAATGTACATACACTGCAGCTTTAACAAGTCAAGTGACTGCATGTTTTTGACCATGGAGTAGAGTATATCTGAAGATCATTAAATTTGGGGCGGGGGTGGCTGGAGAATAAGTGTAGTAGTCATTGTACCATTGCAGTGTGTGTGTGTGTGTGTGTGTGTGTGTGTGTGTGTGTGTGTGAGAGAGAGACAGAGAGAGAGAGAGAGAGACACATGGTTTTTGTCTTTTCATCTTCTCCAAGAGCCAGAAAGTTTCCTGCCGTTCTCTTTCCAGCTATTGACAAATGATTGCCAGATGTGAGATCTTTGCCGTGCTCTTTCCCTCAGCAAACCTGCAGGGATGGGATATTTGATTCTCCCTTGCCCATTTCATCTCCTTTCCACATCTGCCAGGGACACACAAGCAATACATCCCTACATGAGAGTTTAAAGTTTATTCAGCTCCTTTTTCCCCTCCGATAAAGTGTTTGGAGACAACAGAATGAGGTCCATATGACTCTCTCCCAACTTCCCTGTATGAAATTAGTTGTTTATTTTACTTATCTACCTCTCTGTAATTGAACTATTTCATTTTAGTTTTGGTCCATGGAAAATTTGATGCTACTCTGGGAGTGCTAAGAGTTTCCTATTGTCTGCTTGCTGCCTGTGTGCCATCATCACAACTCTCTGATCGCTTCAGTTCTGATAAAAACTAGACTTGGTTTCCACGGGAGTTCCTCAGAAAGTAATTTTAATAAACAACTGTCAAAATATTAAGTGTAGTATATCTGGTGAAATCCAGGAGTCATCTCTGAGGGGACAAAATTCATCTTGTTTGCCGTGATTAGCTTAACCTGTAATTTGTGGCCATTGTCAAAGTTGATATGGATGAGGGCCTAGTTTTAATCCCAAATAACCTGTAAAAGAAAGTATACTTTTTAGAGGCTTCTGAAATTAGCCTGGGTAGGCTGCCCACTTAATCACTAACATGCACAGAAGCCATTTGCATCTGCCTGGAATCTATATTGATAGTGATTTTTTTTCTCATCTCAGTTTAAAAATATTTTCCAAAATGTTCTTATAACTTATGTTCATTCTATAGGGTGGGCTGACACAGGTGGCCTTTCAGTTTTCCTATTACACTTTTTGGCAAACGAAAAGGCCCCTATTCCCTGAATAAGATCAGCATTTTTTTTTTTTAACATTTAAAAAATAATCCATAAAATGTCTGCCACATGTTCTCTAGTGGATGGAAATGTTTTCCAAATTAGAGCTGTAGTATTGGATTCTTATTGTAAAAGTGCTAGTGTTTACTATTTCTGCTACCCTCTTAGCTACCTGTGATTATGTGATTTTCTATTTTTTGTGTGGAATTCAAATATAAGGTAATTACTATTTCTGAATTCCTGTACTGAGGAAAAATTTTGAGTTTTGCTGTTATGGGCAAATAGACTCAAGATACAAAAAGTGTGAAGTCTGTTTTTCAACATGTTCTGTAACTCCAATTAACAGATAACAAACCTAGCAAGAACAAAAACCAAAATCCAGCAGTCCTCCAAAAGAGGAAATGTTACTAAGCCTAAGAAAAGGGGAGAGACTACCCTCTTTAACAGATATACCTGTTAAATGTGTACAGATTTTTATATATTGATTATATTATATGTTAGTGAAGCTTAAAAAGAAAAAGGGGTAAGACTTTCTACCACAAGTTGCCACATGTTGTATTTTTCTTTTGGAATTGTCTATTGACTAGCATAGAAGAAAATCACAGTTGAAGATAATAGACAATGATAAACTGTTCAGACTGTTCATTCTCAAACACAAGATGATGATCATAATGAAAGTGGTGAGTTGAAATAACACCCTCCCCCCACCACACACATACACACAAAATTACCCAAACCAAAAAGGATCCCTGTGGAAAAGTTTATATTTTTATTGTTCTTTACCATTCCCTGAGGACTGATGCCATGCTAGCTACTCAGTGGCTGCCAATGACTGGGAAGGTGGAGGCGAAGAGCTCTTTCATAAAACAACAAGGTTAGGAACTCCTGTGTCAGGAGCCAAGTTCCTCTGAGTTTAGATCACTTCACGTAATTTGCCCTTGCTAATGCATTTGCTGGTTTCTCATGCCTTCCTGCTTTTTCCTCAACATGGTTACTCTGGGAGGCAGAGAGGTGCTAAGCAGTGGAGGTGTCATCCGGCCTGCGTACCTAGGGAATGTCCTTCAGAGGACGACTTGTCACCAGCCGTCAAAGAAGAGAGTGGCTTTGTGGTCTCTGAACATCTGGCAGCGCTGCACAGGAAGCTGAGGGGGTGTCATTAATTGTGATGAAATAATTTAAACCATCAGGAATAAATGAGGCTGTTAAGCTAAGTTCAGATTCCATTTGCCATGCACATGTGTCTAGCAGCCTGTGTGCAGTTTTAAAAAAATTGAATTATATTAGCTCATGAGTAGAAGTGAAACAGATACTGTAAATGAAACAAGTTGCTGTGTAGTGATGACATCGTGTTGTACCACTTCACAGAGTTACAGTTTGTAGTATCAGGATATTGAAAGTGGTACATTATTTAATGAATTTTTATATAAAAACATTCTTATAGTGTTGAGGGAATAGCATAGAAGAAAATGGTAGTTGAAGATACAGTATTTTATTGGTACAGGAGAGGATGGTTAGGTGGATGGGTAGAAAGAAGCAGTCCATCTGGTCAAGCTGGGGAGGGTGGGTGGAGCTCTTACCCTGCTAAGCCATGCTAAATCAACTCGCAGCTTACTTTTTATAGAATGTGGCTCTGAGTGCAACATTTGGTGCCATTGCTCTGCACACACACTCCAGGCTGGAGGAAAATTTCTCATTCAACATTGGATGTCCTGTTTGAGAGCTGCTGACACTTGTGTGCACATCCACATTGTTTCCTTGAGAATAAGTATAGCTGTTTTTGGTGATAGATCGCTCCTCAAGCAAATGGACCTAGTGTCTGGGCTTGACACAATCAGTGAAGACTGATTTCAGGGCCTCCCAGGTGGTGCAGCGGTTGAGCGCCGGGTTGTGAGGCTGCCCGTAGCCTCTGCAGTGCCGGTCAATCCCCGGCCACTGGGTGAGGGTCCCACATGGCGTGCAGACCTCTCCTGCTGTGCCCGCTGCTCCCCTCAGCAGTATACTTCGTCAGTCTGCCTGCTCTGCTCTCCCCTCTGGCTCTGGTGAATTCTCTCACCCTCTGACTGTACCCAGTGCTTGTATAAATAAATAATTAAATCTTTTAAAAAAAAATGATTTCAAATGTAACTTTCAAGCACTGTGGCAAGAGGTAGCCCTCCTTTCTTTGCAAAGGAAAGCTATCAGGTTTGGAATGTCTAAGCGATGGTGTGGAGGCCCCAAAGCCAATTTCTAAAGTGAAAGTCGTTCCTTTACACATGAGCAGAGTTTTCAGACTTGAACTTTTATTTAAAAATAAACATGGGCATTTAATAAAACCAGAATGTTTACATACAGAAAGCATTTTTAAAAGCCCTTAGCAAGGCAATCCCCTGTCAGATAGAGGCAGTGTTAGAGCTCTGCAAACCTGGACTGGAGCCACTTGACCACTAACAACTATTTTTTGTTTGTTTTCTCTCTTTGTACTAGTCTTTTAAAAAAAATATATTATTATTCTTTATTATTTTTACATCATTGTTCATTTTTAAACAGTATTTGCTCCCCTCTCACCCCCTCAGGTGTAGTCCCCATAGAGTTTCCTTCACCAGTGGACCCGTGCACCATCACCTCAGTCCCCTGTGCTCCTCCCTCCCTCCCTCTGATCCCTCTCCCTCCTCCTCCCCTGCAGGATATCTCTGGTTTATAATTGTCTGTTTTTGCTTTGTTGTGTTTTGTACTGTTACTATTTTTTTACATTGATGTCTTATTTGGTTCCTCTATATTCCTGCTATAAGTGAAACCATCCGATATTTTTCTTTTTCCTTCTGGCTTATTTCACTGAGCATGATTCCTTCTAGTTCCATCCACATTGCTGCGAATGGCATGAGCTTATCTCTTTTGATTGCTGAGTAATATTCCATTGTGTACATGTACCACATCTTCTTGATTCAGTCATCTGTTTTTGGGCATTTGGGTTGTTTCCAGGTTTTACCTATTGTAAATAGTGCTGCAATAAACATAGGGGTACAGGTGTTCTTTTGAATCAGTGCTTTAACTAGCTCTGCCCCCACAGTCCTTCTCTTCCTCACTACCTTTTCTCTTTTCCCTGTTGCATATCTCCTTTTTTCCTCTTCTCACTTCATTCTCCATATTTTCTTTTTCTTTTCTTTACTCTCACTTGTTATTTTTATCCATTTGTGTTAGGTTCTTTTTACAACCTGCTCTTATTCTCTATCTTCCACAGATGTGATCTGCAATTGTTTTTATTTATTGTCTTAGTTTACCTGCTACTCATTGAAATAATATTGTAATCTTTTAAAATTTAGGTTGCATTTGTACATAAAGTTGTGTGGTAACTGGTGGATTTCTAAAAGGAATCTCAGTGAACCTTGATTTTTTTTTTTTTAAAGGAATGCAGAATACTCACTAGCCATTTCTCAGGGCTCTTGAATGGAATTGCTGTGGATAAAAGCCAGAAATTTGTAGTTCCAAATTACTATCTTCCTTCTTACCCCAACATAAAATGAAGATATTAAAATTGAAGCGCTGAAGTTTCATGACTTCAGACTTCAAGCACTTGAAGTCTTATAGACTAGTCGATAGTACATTGCTTTTGTGTGTTTTGATCTTCAGATTTTATTTTAATTGATGAAATAGAATAGGAAGACTTGTGTTCCTCAGCTCTGTCTTCTTGGTATTGTTGGAAGGATTGTACTATATAAGACAGTACCCAGCATATAGCTAACTGTGAATGCATTAGTGTTATATAAAAATGTATTTTATTAGTATCTGTTGGCTAAGCAAATAAAAAACAGAAGAAATTTTTCCTGAAGATTTCACTGATCTTCATTATTTAAATATATTCCCCTTAAAACAAATTTTCCCTGTAGAATAATAAATTCAAGTGAACATGGACAAATTTAAGCAAGATATCTATGGTTTTATTTCTTGTCTTTGAAGAAATCACTGTGTACTGTACAGTGTACATTGTATACTGTGGCACATTTATTTCTTTAAACAAAACAGTACACTCTAGTTTCTTGAAGTTTTCTTTGGAAAGTATCTTAGTAAATACTTACATATAAAATGCAGTTTCATGAACTCTTTATTTTAGTGGAGTGTGAACTGGATTCCCCTACATATTTTTAAAAACTTTTTTTATTTTCCTGTTTTTGTTACTGTTAACTCTACCTAAGCAGCTTAAAATTTGTTAATTTTGTAAATCTTGAGTTCTATATTTTAGGTATATTATATATTAAATAAACCTTGCTTCAATAATGGGAGAACTTAACTATATTGTACATTCTCTCTCAGTACCACTGTTTCTATGAGTGTTTAGATTCTGGACAACCAGCCTCACAGAAACTATTCATGATGGGAACTGTCAGTATTGAATATAAAAACATTGAGAATGATGCCTTTTTTTTTTAAAAAACTATACATAAGTCCCTAAGTCATAGCAGCTCTGTAGGAGGAAAAAAAGATAGGAAAGCAAGAAATATTTTAGTTCTTGACTTGAATAGAGAGAATACTCTGTTGGGAGTGTGTACGTGTATTTAGGTTTTTTATATATATATACACACATGTTATATCTATTATTACATATAAATCCATATTTTATATGTTTACAGGAGTATCTAGTGTTACTCTGAATATCTTGTTGGAATTAGTCATTAATGAATAATCAGCATTGAGAAAACATAGCACCATACCTTCATCTGCAAAAAATAGGAAAGAAAGGTTTAGTGTGTAAATAATGGACTTTCAATTTGTGTGTGTAATTCTTTAGGACATAGTATTTTTATATGATTTTTAACACTTAAACCTTGAAATTACCTGAATTATATAATCTATGTCTTTATTTAACAGATTTGGAAACCAAGGCACAGTTATTTTTAAGACTTATCCAAAATTACATAGTAAAACATTCTCCATTTTCTGATGTGTCAGAACCTTATTGTTTATTGGTTTTCATTCCCTCTGAATATAGGTGTTATATGGCAGCACTCTGATTTTTTTTTTCTTGTGACAAAATATTTAACTTAGTGTTTACCTTGTTCTCTGTGATCTAAGTGAAATAAAGAAAGAATACAAGGCCACCGTACTCTCAGTACCATAGTAGTGGTCTTAGTAGATTCTCTCATGAAAAGAGCAGACCCTTCTCTTCTGTCTGATGCTGGGAATGTGCTAACTTGCTGTTAAGAAATGGGATGTTGGGGCCTCCCCCGTGGTGCAGCGGTTGAGCGCTGGGTTGCGAAGCTGCCCGCAGCCTCTGCAGCGCCGGTTTTGCAGCGCCCGTTCTGCAGCACTGGTTCGATCCCACTGGTTTGATCCCCGGCTGCTCCCTGGCCACTGGAGGAGGGTCCCACATGGTGCGCAGACCTCTCCTGCCGCCCGCTGCTCCCCTCAGCAGTGTACTTCGCTCCTTCTGCCTGCTCTGCTCCCCTCTCTGGCTCTGGTGAATTCTCTCACCCTCCCGCTCTTCTGACTGTACCCAGTACTTGTATAAATAAATAAATAAATCTTTTTTTTTTTTTTTTTTTTTTTTTTTTAAAGAAATGGGATGTTGGGTTCTGACTTTTTTTCTTTCTTTCTCTAGTGTCAGTTTAGAATTAAGCGTTGGACAATAACTAACTTAAGGTTTTAGAAATAGTCCTACTTAAATAATCTTGGTTTCTAAACAAAAGTGCCATTACAAACATCTAAA